TCAAACTTTAAGGCCAGCTGGTCACTTCCCAAAGGTAGACCTGTCTGAGATGGGGAGCAGGGGTGACAAGGCCTCTGCCTCTCTTCGGTCCTCAGGAAAGGGAGCTGGAGCTGCAGAAGGAGCAGCGCCGGCAGGAGGAGAATGACAAGCTGCGCCAGGAGTTCGCCCAGCATGCCAATGCCTTCCACCAGTGGATCCAGGAGACCAGGTGGCAGCCCTTGGCCACTGTGCAGGCCCTGGGACTCTGGTCCCCAGCGCTGAGTCCTTGGGCCTCCAGCTCCAGGGCGAGGGAGCTTTGCGTGAAACCAGAGGGCATGCGCAGAGCAAGGAAAGAAGGGCTGGAAGTGCGGCCTGGTCTGGCTGCAGCGGCGGGTGGCAGATGGAGCTGTGTCCTCAAGTCTGGCTGGCCTGGATCGGGTGGGACTGCAGCTGAGGGCACTGTGGGTACTGATGTTCTTGGTTTGTTTTTCTTTTTTCTGTCTCCCTTGTCCCTCACCTCCCAATTGCTGCTGTCTGGACACCACCTTGTCTTCGGCTGCTTGGACCCCATCTCCACAGAACGTATCTCCTCGATGGGTTAATATTGTTTTCTTATTTCTCTGGGCTCATGATGTGGTAGTCTCATGTGCTTGTCCCATGCCCTCTGTGCCCCCGTGGCCTGGCTTGCAGATCCCAGGATGGGCCTTCCTGCCCTGGCCCCACCTCTGTCCCCTGTCACCTTACAAGGAGTGTGTGCCTTGCCCACAGCCCACTGTCCCTGGCAGCCTGCAGTCTGGGGAGGGGAGCCACTCCCACTTCCTCATCAGATTCAGGTAGGGAGCGTGACCAAGCCAGAAGGCCAGAGCTGCAGTCCAAAGCCCCCAAGGGTCCCCATGTTTGTTTAGCCATTGGGACTGTACTGGACTTCTGCCTTTGTCCCGTGTCCCCTATGGAACCATATTCAACCCCTAGGAGGTTGTGGACATAAAGCGGATGACCATGTTTAGGGGGCTCAGGCTGAGGCAGTAAGTCCCCAGCTTGTACTGACCTCTCCCCGGTGCCCCACTGGGCTGAGACTGTCCCCAGCTTTCCCAGGGGAAGGGGACAGGATGATCTGCCCCAGTAGAGGGCAGAGGTGCCCAGGGTTTCTGCATGACAGAGACCCAGGGCTGCTTGTCCAGTCCAGGTGTGGGCTGCTCCCCGAGGCCTCAGCCTCCTCTGCTTGGGTGTGTGGGGGGGGTCATTGCATTCACTCCCAGGCCCACTGCAAATCCAGGGTAGTGGGGCTGCAGCGGCTCAGACTAGCATTCCAGAGGCTCTGTAGACAGTATTTAAAGGCAGCAGTGGAGAAGTGTGCCCACCCCGATCAGACCTGTAGCAGAGTGGGTTGGGATTTAGGGGTTGTTTTCCAGCTGGAGCTCCTAAACCAGCCTGGCATCTGCTCTCCTCCCTGGCCTCTGTGGCTGTGTCTGCAGGCCCTGGCCTTGTCTCCGTCAGGTGCCATGCTCCCCTTCCCATGTAGCTCTTCCCAGCCCGGTCCTGTCTGACCCAGCCCCTCGGGAGCTTCCCCAAGGTGCCTGTCCTCCCAGGCTGGCCATCGGCTCTGCCTCTGCCAGGTCCCCCTGCCCGGGCCCCGCCGGCTTGGGCCTTGTGGTGTGTGGGTGCTCCCCTGCCCCACCCTGGCGTATTCATTTGCTGTCTTTCCTTTGACTAGCATAGCATATCGTCGGGTCATTCGTGTCTATCAGTATGAAGTCGGGGATGATCTGTCTGGAAGGTTTTTCTCCTCTTATTTCTCTCCTTGCCTCACTGGTTTTTCACCAATGCACTCTTGACCTCCCCAGGTGGCTCTGCTTTCTGACTAACCCACCACTCTCGGCTGCTTGGGAGGGAGGAGTCTGTCCCCCTCCCACTGCACCGACACTCAGCCTCCTGCCCCCGGGTCCTGGGGGTGTGCTTTACCCTGGGGGACGTGGCGTGGCTGTCAGTCTGATCTGCTGGGGCAGGAGGAAGCCTGGTGCCCTGCTTTGCTAAGCACTTTGAACCTGGGGGAGATTTCAGAGCTAACCCTGGCTCTGAACAGCCAGGGTTAGGCTGTTAACAGGGTGTGTTGGGACTGATGTGGGTACAGGGGAGGCTGGGCTAAAACCCCACCAGGGACCCTCACACAGTGTGACTTGGCCCTGCACACAACCCCGACTCGTTTTGTCGTTTTTGCTCACTGGTGGCCTCACACTGTGTGTGTTGGGAAGGTGGATGCTCCCCGAGCCCCCTGCTCCTCAGAACCGAGCACTGAAAAGAGCCTGTGGCACTGACTGTGCCTCTAGGTCACAGAACCTGAATCTGGGGCTTAGTCAAGGCCACCTCCCTCCTTGGGCAGAACTGGACCAAATTTGGTCCCCATCTCTCAGCACCCCAGTTGCCGTGTCTGAAGGGCCATCTGACTGCACCTCCTCTCTTACTGCCACTCACCCTGGAATGTGGCTCCCCTCCTCAGGGACCTGCAGATTCCAGGGAGTTCTTGGAGGGGCAGGGGTTGTCAGCCTCCCCCTTCCCTGAGGTCTCCCATCTGTCGGAGGCATGGTTGTACAGGGCATCTTTTTCTCACGTGGTTGCAGAGGGGTACACTGTCAGGCAGGCCCGCAGCCCCTTTATTCCCGCAGGGGAACTTAGAGTCAGTTCCTGGGATACCCCTCAAGGGCCTAGCTCGGGTCAGGCAGCAGGTCACACACAGCCTGGCTGGTCCTGAGGAGCCGCCTGAGAAAGGGTCCTGGCCTGGAAACAGAGAAGCAGGCTCACTGGGTCTTGGGCAGGTCGCACGCCACAATGGGCAGCAGTCTCCTGTCCCTGAAATACCTCTGCCGTTCCTGGCTCCCTGGGCTCCCTAATAGCAGATAGGTTTTATTCCCTTGAATTCAAAACTACATGCATTATTTTTATCTGAGAATAATTCCAAGCTCCTGCTCAGGCCCCCTCCACCTCACTGTGCTTCTGTGTTCAGGTCCTGCATGGTGGAAGAATCCGGAACCCTCGAGTCGCAGCTTGAAGCTACCAAAGTAAGTGTCCCCAGGGCTCCCTGCCCAGCTAAGACCCTTCACCCCGCCACCCCTGTTTGGCTTAAAGCAGCCCAGAACCCCATTACTTTTAAATTTGTCTGCGGTGGTTGCTGCCTGCAACCCTGCCTGAAAAGGAAGAGGCAGCTGTGCTCCCCAGCTGCCCCTGGCAGGCCCGCCCCTGGCTTGTGACTCCCGCTCAGGCTCTTCCCTCTCCTGTTGGATTCCTCAGTCACCCCACCACACCCTTCCCAGTCTAGCCCTGCTCATCTCAGGCTGGGCCCTCCCGTGCACCTTTGCTCCCCACCCCTGCAGCGCAAACACCAGGAGATTCGAGCCATGAGAAGTCAGCTCAAGAAGATTGAGGACCTGGGGGCAGCCATGGAGGAAGCCCTGATCCTGGACAACAAGTACACGGAGCACAGCACCGTGGGCCTGGCCCAGCAGTGGGACCAGCTCGACCAGCTGGGCATGCGCATGCAGCACAATCTGGAGCAGCAGATCCAGGCCAGGTGCCTGCCCCCGGCAGCGCGTGGGCACGGGCGGCAGCATGGGAAGGAAGGGCCCTGCCCACCCCAGCTTCTAGCAGTCGGTCATCGCACTGGGATGGAACAGAATGTGCTACCTGCTGTGTGGGGCTGAGGGCCAGTCTCTAATTCTGTTCTTCCCTTCCAGGAACACCACAGGGGTGACTGAGGAAGCTCTCAAAGAATTCAGCATGATGTTTAAGTGAGTATGCCTGGCGTGCTCCCTGTCTGCCTGGCTGGGGGAGGTGGGCTCAGCAGCAGGGCCAGGCATTGAATGGCCTTGGCTCTGTGCTGCAGACACTTTGACAAGGACAAGTCTGGCCGGCTGAACCACCAGGAGTTCAAGTCCTGCCTGCGCTCCCTGGGCTACGACCTGCCCATGGTGGAGGAAGGGGAACCGGACCCAGAGTTCGAGGCCATCCTGGACACTGTGGATCCAAACAGGTGAGCATTAGGGAAGGTGGTAGGAACAGCTGTGCGTGTGGAGCCCACCATGCCCTACCCACTCACACACTTCACCCCCCAGGGACGGGCACGTCTCCCTGCAAGAATACATGGCTTTCATGATCAGCCGTGAAACTGAGAACGTCAAGTCCAGCGAGGAGATCGAGAGTGCCTTCCGGGCCCTGAGCTCTGAAGGAAAGCCTTACGTGACCAAGGAGGAGCTGTACCAGGTCTGGGTCCCCTGCTTCCCTGGGGAGGAGGTCTGAGGTTTCCTTTAAAAAGTAAAGCCCAAGGCTGCCCTGGGGTAACAGACTGGAGCCCTACACTGCTGGGTCCAGGTGTTTTATTCCTGTGGGTAAATAAAATGCAGTCCGGGCCAAGTCCTGTAGATACTCGCAAAAGTGGCCGCAGCCTGCAAGCATAGGTCTTCCTGAAGCCTGGCCATTCACGTTGTTTTAAGTCCCCTGCTGCCTGCCTCAGCATGCCTGGCAGTGGCTCAGCTGACAGGTGTGTCCTCGTCCCCTCCAGAACCTGACTCGGGAACAAGCCGACTACTGCGTCTCCCACATGAAGCCCTATGTGGACAGCAAGGGCCGTGAGCTCCCCACTGCTTTCGACTACGTTGAGTTCACCCGCTCGCTCTTCGTGAACTGATCCTCCACCCCTAGGCTAGCCTGGCCCTGCTGCCGCCTTGCTGCATGTCAACCCATCTCTGTGCTCTTAAATAATATTCCAGACAGTGTTACTTTGCAGTGTGACCTTAAATCTGCTTAGCTTGAGGTAAGACTTAGTAGAAAATGGTGCTTCAGTAAACCGCTTCTGGTCCAGTTCAGGTGGAACTGCCATGTTGCTGTGGGGACCCAGCTTCTGTCTTGAAGCCAGCTGCCCCGTTCCCACTTCAGAAAAATCCAAGCAGCTGGTGACTTCTCCTCTTGTTTTCCCCACCCCCATTTTTTGTTGAGACATAAAGGACGAATAAATGACTCACCCCCAAAAGTGTGTCTTGGCTTCATTCAGCTTCTGTCAGAAATACAGAGCAGCCCAAATGCAGCCCATCCCACAGGCCTCCGTACTTCGGGACGCTCCCCCCGGGGCCCCGCTGTGGCTTTGTTGTCCTCAGGGGGCTGCTTCTGCTGCCAGCTGGTCCAAGCCCTCCGTTTCCCGGGGCCCCTGTTCGGTGAACTCGGTGCTCAGCCGCCATACCTTCACTGTGCCCTTGGCATCACCAGCAGCCAGCAGCTGGGTCTGCTGGCAATTAAACTCAAGACAGTAAACAGGGCTTTCATCCTGGGTCTGCTTGATTGAAACTGTGGGCTTCTGGGAGCTCTTCTGGAGATCAAACAGCTGCACGTCACCTTTAGTGCGAGAGAGTCAGTAAGAGGCCCAGAGCACCAGCCCAACCCTCTGCAGATCCCTGTGCCCTTGGGAAGAGGAACCCTAGAGGACACAGCTGCCGCCCAGTTAAGCTCTTCCCCAAGGGGGAGTCATCCTCACCCTCATGCAGCCGCTCCTCCACCCAGAATTCCAGGCCCGTGCTGCACCTGTCACTTAAAGCCTGGGTCCCATCTCCTACCTTCCCCAGAAGCAGCGGCAAACACCAAAGGGCGCACTGGGGACCAGCGTACGGCAAACAGGTACTTGTGGGACAGCTGCAGGGACGCCAGGGGCTGGGCCTGCAGCATGGAGTACAGGTGGACGTGGCCGTCGGTCCCTGCACTCAGGAAGAGATTCCTAGATGGGATGCAGAGCAGCCAGACAAAGGGATGAGTCCAGGTGTGGCTGGGACCTCCTCGCCGGACACCTGAGCTGTCAGGCTCCTGAAAGGCCTCCCCGGACCCACAGACCTGGAGTCCTGGGTAGAGGGACTGACTCCTTGGGGCCAACCACTAGGCCTCAAGTGGGCCCAGGACAACCTGCAGGTCCTTTAAGCAGTTCTGCAGCATGGCCTGGAGGGATGCCCATGCCCTCCCAGTGCCAGAGGCCCTGTGGCTGTGGCAGAGAAGCCCCAGGCCAGGGCCCTCCCTACCTGTGGAAGGGAGAGCAGCTCACTGAGTAGACAGGACCGCCGTGGGGAGAGAAGGTGAACTGGACCGGGGCCCGCAGAGGCACTGAGTGAGGCACCCGTGTGAGGGCGGCCTCTTCCGCTGCCAGGGAACACTTGAGTGGGAAGCCGCCTTCCGTGCCCAGAACAAAAAGGCTGGGGTCAAAGCTGGAGAAAGCCACCGCTGTGGCGCCCACCTCAGTCTCCCCCCGCGGAGGCTGTGGAGAAACCAATAGCAGGGCAGACCTGAGAGACCGGCTATGGTGTCCTAAAAGAGCCCAGGGACAAGAGTGGGTGCTGTGGCCCAAAGAAGTCACACGGCAAGTGCTCCGCTGGCAGCTCTGGTGGCCATGCCTGCCCAGCCGCCAACTTGCTGGGGAGCTCCCGCATCCAGGGCTGCCTGCAGGCTGTCCCCAGGGGCAGCGGCCTCAGCCCCCACCTACCTTCTTCAGCTTGGTGCTCCTCGGGAGCTGCTGCACCGCCAGGGCAAAGCCGTCGGCGAGCTGCAGCTGGCCCGCCCCGACCCCCTGCCAAAGCAGCACCTTCCCGTCGGTGGCCACACTCAGCACCTGGAAGCGGTGGCCGTGCCTCGGATCCGGAAGCCAAACCACCTGGGACAACGGCACGGGCAGGGTGAGAGAGCTGCCACTCCACGGCCAAGCCCTACCTCCCAGCAAGGCCAGGTAGCTCCCTCCACCCCCACCTTCCTCTTCTCTTCCAGGGGTAAAAACAAAAAGATTCCGGGGGAGGCCCCGGGGCCACCTCACCCACCAGGGAGTAGGCCCAGAGGGTTCCAGGGTTCCTCCCCTAGTCTCAGCAGAAAGCCCGGCCAGCTGGGAAGCCCTTACTGCTGGGGGCAAGGGTGTGACTCAGGCCCCGGCTGCTCTGGGAATGCCGAAGGCAGCTGTCTGACTGCCAACTCCCTGGTGACCTTCTTCCACAGCTGTGCCAAGTGGGCGCCCTCTCTTCTGCTCTGCCTCAAGTTGGGCCCAGGAGGGCAAGGCCCAGCTCAGAGAAGGGGCTGGTGCCTCCCTGACTGCCCGGCAGCTCCAGCTCCCACCTGGTTCACGGGGTCTGTGTGTGTGTCGTCCGTCAGGCCCGTGCGCCAGAGCAGCGGGTCCTCAGGGTGGCTCAGGTCCCACACCAGCACCTCACCACTGTACAGTCCCCCTGTGGGACCAAGCGGACCTGGGCAGAAGCTGATTCACACCCAGCAGCCTGGCTTCCCGGCCAGGTCCCGGCCCTCTTGCTCACCGAGTCAAGACATGGAGCCACTGGCCCAAAATCATTCTGAGGAAAAATCCTATCTCCAGGCCCACACTCTGTCTGCTGTGCCCCACCCAGGGAACCTTCCCCACGGCCAGCCTGCTCCCCCCTGACCACACCCTGCCATTCTCATTCCCTCGGGAAAGCATGACCCCCACTCTCCCAACACGGGTGGCTCCTCTGACCACTGACAGCTCCCCAGTGGCACCTGCTTTGTCCTGCCTCTTGTCCTGACCAGGCCACACAGCCCCAGCTCAGCTGAGGACCTGCTTTGTCCTGAGCTCCATGCCCAGTACAGGCCTCTCATCATCCCACCGGAACCCAGGGGTCAAGTCTGCCCCTCTCTACCCCTGAGTGGACTTGCCCTGGCCGTGCCCAGGGACTAAGGGCCCAATGGAGAGCCCCCCTTTGGTGGCCCTCTGCAGGCTGGGAGGCTCACCTGCAATGCGGGATGGCTGCGTGGGGTGGAAGGCCAGGCACATGACAGCGCTGGGCACCTCTACCACTGCCGACGGCTGCCGGGGGTTCAGGCCACGCCGGTCCAGGTTCCAGGCGCACACAAAGGACTTCAGTGTGCTCCAGTCCCCGTCGTCCAGCCTGCACAAGTACATGCCAGAGCTGGCTCTGCCCTGAGGCCAGGGCTTCAGCCCAATCTGCCCATCCCCACCTTGCTCCTAACACCTGACCCAGCTCCCCAACGGCTACCCCCAAACAGATCAGCCTCTGTGTCCCCATCACACCCAGACACTGTACTGGGTATCGAGTGGCACAGGCTCCCCTGTGGCACCATGAGGGCATGGCTTTCTCTGGAAAAGGGTCCCCAGGAACCAAGGATGGGTCCACACAACAGGCAGGATGGGGGACCCCTAGCACATCAGAAAACAACAGGAGATGGCAAGGCAGGCCCAGGGCTTGCCACCCGTGCTGGCAGGCGGGCGCTGCAAGTCCGAGGCTCCAGGCCCCTCCCTGCCCTGCTCTCTTCTGGCCAACATGCTGCCAGGTGGCCCTGAGAAGAAGGACTCCCAGCATGGCCAAGCTCTGGGCCGACCCTTCACCTTGCAGATGGGGCCACAGAGGCTCACACCAGGGTCTGAGGGCCTCCCGGTGCCCCACACCCACCCCTGCTGCCACTCACCGGCCATAGGCACAGGCCACCACGGACCCGGTGGTGTTCCAGGAGACACTGGTCACATGCAGACCCTGCCCTTGGGCTGGGGGGTAGCCCAGGGTGTGCAGGCAGGTCACCTACAAGACACAGACCAGCCCTAACCCTAAGCCCCAAACCACACAGCAGGTGGACCATGGTCACCTATCAAAAAAACAGGCATGGGCCTCTCAAACCCCTAAAAGCTACCCAAGCCCACTGCCCAGCCCTGAAGGAAAATGTGGAACCTCTATCTAAGCATATCCCCCAAAGGGATGCTTGCAGAAACCTAGAAGGGCTTTGATATGGAGACGGATGCCGGGCTCCAGGTCAGAGCTGGACCCAGTGCTCACATGTGTTCTACAGTCACAAAAGCTTTGGCTTCTGAAGCTAGAAGGCGGTGATGATCACACAACATGAATGTGCTTAATGCCACAGAACCACACACCTCAAACATGGTTCAAACAGTAAATTTTATGGTATTTTACCACACACACATTTTTTAAGGCTCTGGCTTCTTGTTTCTCAGCCCGCCGCGGGCTAGCAGCAGCAGGTGAGAACGCTGGCCACAGCGAGGGATCAGCACAAGCTTTCCGAGAGGCAATTTGCACACAGATCAAAACTCCCGTGAGAGGCTGTGCACTGCTTGGCCTCATACCCCCATGTAGAGAAGCTACCCGATGGTGAGTCCAAAATTGCTGAAAAGCTCTGTGGTGGGTGCCCTTACATGCCGCCAGGGTGCAGCCAGCGAGACTGCAGAACGCCACTGCGGCGCAGCCTGGCAGCCCCTCACACTGTCAAACACAGGGTTCCCGTATGACCCCACAGTTCCAGCTCCACATGTGCACCCAAGAGAATTTAAAATACATGCTTACACAAAGACCTGTGCACAAATACAGCGTTATGACAGCCAAAATGGCCATCAGCTGATGGCCAAGTGTGATAAACCCCTGCGAGGGAGTACTATTCGGACATAACAAGGAGTCAAGTGCTCCATGGACCCTTGACAGCGCTCTGCTAAGTGGAGGAAGCCAGCCACAAAAGACTATTTCTTGTAGGATCCCATTGATGTGAAATGTCTGGAATAGGCAGATGGATAGAGCTAGATTAGTAGTCCTCAGGAGGTGGGGAGCGATCCGGGAGTGGCTGCTGACGGGTATGGAGCTTCTTTTGGGGATGAATGTTCTAGAATTGACTGTAGCAATGGTTGTACCATTCTGGGAATACATTAAAACCCACTGAACTGTACACTTTTAAGTGGGGGAATTATATCTCTTAAATCTGTTATTTCAGAACAAAGCTTACAGGGGGCACGAGAAAATCTTTGAGGGCCTGGGAACATTTCAGTCCCTGATTTGGGTTCTGGTTCTGCTACTGTTTTCACCTTGTGAAAAGTCACGGACCTGAACACTTGTAGTTTGTGCATGTTTTGATGTCATATTTAGTGAAGTTTACATTGAAAATAAGCCACACAAGGTTACTTACTGTAACACTATTTATAACTACGATGATTAGTACAATTTAAAATCTAAAGGTGAGACTCCTTAGAGAGAAGGGAGGGGTGCGGGCTGCCCCACTCCTTCACTGCGCCAGGGCCGTGCTGCCCAGGCTCAGCCTGCACACAGGGTGAACCCACCTGCAGGGACAACCGACCTTGATAAACCTGACTCAAAAATCAGAGTTTACGGATGAAACGTGGCGTTTTAAAAGGACAAGTGTGAAGTCTTTAGCAACCTCACAACACAGCAGAGGCTTCTGACCAGAAAAGACCCTCAGATTGGTCACAGTGACTCGCAGCTGCCAACAGCACATGTGCGCCGAGCAACAGGGAGGAAGTGACATGGTCGAGCAATGGGCAGTGCGGGCGGAGGCCCACGGGTGACGGTTCCCTCATCCCTCATGGCTAAGTTGTCACGATGGCTTCAGAACTTCAAACTTACAGTTTTCCATGACGAGTGGTGCCTCAGCCTTGCTGGGCTCCCACGGCAGTGCCAAGGCCAGTGGTGAGATGTCCAAGGCAGCTCCTGCCTTGACAGTAGGAGTAGAGATGGAGAAATCCTATACCAGCCAAAATAATAATTCCACTCCAGGGGAATAAGCAAAAAAGACTGATGCTAAAGGAACAGTGAGAGATTCGCTGCAGTTCTGTTACATGATAGCAAAATGTGAAAGCAAGCGACATTGGGGAATGGTTAAGACCCGTCGGGGCCGCCAGGCAGCTGCACAGCATACAGCCCTCACGGGAGCTGCCCTACCTCCTGCCTGCTCCGGGGTTTGGGGGATACCTTTCTAAGTGTGAAGGTGCTGCCTGGGGTGGCCACCCAGGGGACTCAGATAAAGGATGGTGTGTGTCTGCAGTGGGACACAACTCAGGGGCACCTTTATAGGAGCTGACATGGAAAGCTCTGGTAAGGGAGAAAGGTCACAAAAGGTACAGAGATTTGTTTTTGTTTACAATGTTTTTACAACAGCGGTGCTAACAGTAACGCTACGGGTCAGCGTAGCACAGGAAAGCCTCTGAAGGCCTGGGAACCAGAGGGTTCCCTCTCCCCGCCTACGTTGGATAGACAGATGTCCCGCGTTTCTGTAACAACTAAACTTATTACAAGGAACACGGAGCACTGCTTTTGTAATCAGGAAAGAACAGATATTTTTAAAGGAGAAAGTAACACACCTGTGGACCAAATTAATCCACAGACATGCAGAAAAGCTCTAATAACAAAGAACACAGGCTCAGCTGAGTGGGACTGTAACGCGGGCGTCAGCAATGCCAAGGCACGTGAGCGAGCGCGCTGGTTTTAATGCTCACTGTCCTCCTCCTGCCCTGCTTAGATGCAACGACTCCACACTTCGGTGTGGCCCTGGCAACTGTTTTCAGACCGATTTTGAGGATTTCTCTCACATCGGCTCCCCTATACCTACAATGACTTGGTGGGAACGGGGCGGCTATATATCCCTGGAAATAGATGGAGGGGAGGCCCAAGAGGAGGAAGGGGCGAGAGAGGGGCTCCTGACCTCTGAATACATAGTCACCCACCTCCCTTTCTAAAGGAAGGAAATACTGCGCATTACAAAAGCTTGAATCTGAACTTAAAAGGCTCTGCAGTCTGGGGCCCTTGGCTCTGAGGCTCCCGCAGCACAGCGGGACCATAAGGTCCAGCCTGAAACACACTCCAAGAGCCCCTCATTTATTCAGAGGCTGCCTGGTCTGGAAGCCTTAGCTGTCTGCCCAGCTGGACATCTGAGTTTATGGGGTGACAGCTCTGAGCTGTGCTTAGGGAGCAGAAAGACTTGGAGATGCTGAAGTCACAAGAGCACAACAGTAAAATGGGACCAGGGCTCAAAATCCAGCTCAGCCAGTTGCAGCTGTGTGACCTGGGACAAGTCACTTTGCCTCTCTGAGCCTGACCTGTAAAATGGAGATCATGATAGTACTGCCTCACACAGTTGTCCTGAGGAGTAAATGAGATGGCACCGAGAAAGCCCTCAGCACACAGTGCCTGGGGGACTCAGACAAGGGGCGGAGAGAATCAGATCCAGGGTCACACAGCCCACGTGCAAACTGTGCTCCTTACTAGCGCAGCGACACCTTAAAGTTACTACAACACTGGGTCTCCCATTTTCCCTGTAAAATGTAAACAGCGATGGCACCTACTTCTGGGCTAGCAGGGAAGGCTCAATGACTTATTCTTACAAATCTAGCTCAGTGCCTCCTGGCAAAAAGGGCACAAAGAACGCTGTTACTATTATTGGTATCATTACTTGGGTGGTACGGAAGCTCAGAATGGGGTAGAGGCTCGATCTGAGGCAGAGTGGGGAGGCGTCCCGGGCCTGCACCTTCCCTACCGTAGGCTGCTGCTCGGTCCAGTTCACCTCAAAGCCATCAAATGCGTGGCTCTGCCAATTCTTGTTCAGCTCTCGGATAACCATGCCCTCCACTCTCTGAAGAAAGGCTGCAAGCCGGGGGCTGTCAGGCCGGGACCCAGATGGCACACTGACAGGCATGCGGGCCTCGGTCTGCACCTCGGCATCTGCACGCTTCCGGGTCTGGGAAGACGCTTCCGCTGTAGCAAGGCTGTCTGTCTGGCAACTTTTCTGCAGAAAGAAATCAAGACCTATTAATCACCAGCCAGCATCACCTGCCAGGACACCAACCCTGCCTCTGCTGAACACACCTCCCAGGCTGCTCCTGGTCCTCGGCGAGCGGGCCTCTGTTCATTCTACCAGCCCAAAGTCCATTCCTTCCCGCCTTAACTAGCCCATCTTTCTTAGGTGGAACCCAACCTGTGCGATGTGGGTGGAGGTGACCCCTTAACCCTCCTCTGCTCCACTGAGGGGGTTCATGACCTCCAGGTGGAGCACTGGGACCCTCCCTCAGGTTCAGGGGTGGCCACATGACCCAGAAAGAGCCTGACCCTGCCCTTCTGGTGACAGAATTTGGAGGGGATGAAGAAATGCCCCTTTTGAAGGTCCTGAGAGCAGTAAGCCTCATGTACTATTAGAGTCAGCAGTGGCTGTCTTACTACCGCATGGAAGACCCCCAGACCGGCCGCACGCAGGCCGCCAAGGCAGTACCCTTGATCAACGGGAACAAGTGTGCCCAGGATAAGCCGGTTGGTATGAAGCAGCCTGCCCCTCTGCCGCCCCTTCTCTCCACCCAGCCATCTGTCTCCAATTCCTTGTCCCGTTTGGCTGGGCACAGGCACAGGCATCAGGTCAGGAAGGGAGCTGCCAGCCTCCCTTTGCTGCAGACAAGACCAATCTCTACCGAATGAGGGGCCCTCTGTCACTACGACTGTCATCTGTGAGGGGCCTGCTGTACCGGGCCGCTCACCGAGCACCTGAGCGTGCAGGGCAGTGACAAGGCCCAGGCGCCCACACTCCCCTGCTCAGGCCGGTGAGCAAGCCTGAAGGCAGGGCGCTGGCCGCACCCGGGACGTGGTCTGTGCTCCCACGCCTGTCTGATCTATCTTCTATCTTTACAACCCCAGAACTTTGTGAACTTTGACACACAGTGTAAGTTCAGTTATACGATCAAGAAATAGATGGATGGTAGATGGAGAGAAGGGAGAGAAAGAGAGAGGGAATGTGCACCTACTTGCCAAGCACTGTCTGGCCGCTGCAGCTTTAGCAGAAAACAAGCAACATTCCTGAGCCAAGGAGCTTACCTGGGAGCTGGGGTGGGTAAGTAAACAAACAAGAAAACCCCACTGCATGCCGGCAGGGCTAAGCGCAGGGAGGCCTCTGGGGCGACGACATGTGAGCCGAGGCATCCCTGCTAGGCAGGGAGAAGTGCGGAGCGGGAAGGGAGGTGCTGAGAGAAGAGCACACGGGAGCAGTTCAGCTGGGCCTCATTCAGACTGAGATGCTCCCCAGACAACCACGCGGAAGCCTCGCCGGTTCCCAAGAGTGCTCAGGAGGCGGCGGCTCTGAAAAGCATTCGACCAGAGGTTTGAAACCACAGGACTGGGGGAGTCCACGGAGGGGATGCGCACTTTGAGGAATTAATGGATGGACATCAAAAAGTATACACGCTGAGGCAAAATTTTAAGAGACTATGGGTAAATCTCACACTTCCTGGAAGCCCCAGTGATGGTGAAAGTACCAGGTATGAAGTGCTAACTCAGGCACTGTTTCCAAAGCTTTCCTCAAACCTTACAAATCCTCACTACCACCTTATGAAGTTAAATCCTATTTTGGCATTAATGTTGGCACTGAGGAACAGAGAAGTTAAGTAACTCACCCAGTTCACACAGCAATGAGATGATCACAATGGTGTTGAACCCAGGCAGTCTAACCTGAGACACTTAACTGTTTCTCCATCATGTTTTCTTTCCCAAACAGTCTAAAATCCTGGCCACTAATAACATCAGAACTCAAAACAATGTTTCTAATAAAGTATCATAGGAATGTGAATATTAAAATTAATGTGAAATCACAACCACGGCAAAAATGCCCACAGAGCCAGTATACTCTTGCCTTTTCAGGCATTTCTACGATTTCTACGAACGTTCCTGCATGGCTAGCTTGTAACAAGTATCAGGCAGGTAACAAACGCCTTGCTAACAAGCCCCAGACAGCTGCAGGTGCGGCGCGTCAGACCCCCACCTGCGCGGAGCCATTGGTATGCTGCGCGCCCCGGGGGGCCCAGCCTCTCAGCTGCCCTCCCGGGGCAGGCAATGCTCACATCATCCCCTTTTCCAGCCACCTCCCCTCCCCAGGGACTGATGGAACAGGGCTCCTCCCCAGAGGCTGAGGAACGCTGTGGAGTGGAGAGCCCAGCAAAGGGGCCCCTCACTGTCACCCTGCCACCGTATTCGGGCCCACCCCACTCCTTCCCAGCGTTTCCCCCCTCCTCAGGCTGCGCGCACTGCCAGGCCCTCCCTTCCACCTTCTGTCCCTTCAGGGTCCTGCACACACACCTGATAGTGAATAATCGGTGCGATGGGACCAGGGATGACTCCAGACCTAATTCAGTGGCTCTTTATCCACTTACTGCAAATCCCACACACGCACACTGGCAAAACTGCACCCAGGTCTGAAGCATATTTTGCTGCCATGGGAATGTCTTAAATACAAACTTGAGCTGAGTGAGTTTTGTGACGTAGTATGGACAATTACATTTGCTTGCGTGAGACCCTCAAGAGTGCAGAGTAACTGATCCCCAGCCATCATCAAGGTACAATCTCCTGTTTACTTGAACTTGACTCTTGAGTCTATCAGGGCAGCAAAGAGCTATTCAGAGAACGACTTGGAGCCAAACATCAACCAAGTGAAGAGGGAATATCCGACATTTTCATAGAATCTGAGAGAGGCTCTTATATGCTACAGCACCTTCGAGTTGTAATTACTGCAGACTACTGTGGTGTTGTTCAAGTCTTTTAATCCCTTGTTGTGCTTCTTAAAAAAGAAATCTAGTATCAAAACTGTCTAGCACACTCAAGGCTGAGAATGGATTTCATTCTACGTGACAATCTGCAAGGGGCCTGACTGCAGGTTGAACACAAACACCCTCCAGCAGGGGGTGCCATATGCCCACAACCCCCCAAGGCAAGGGGGCGGGGGCTCAGCAGGGAGGAGGAGCCCACAGGCTGGCAGCTAAATTCGATCCAAAGTAGGAGCGGAGAGATGAAGCCTGTGTGAAATGACAGGACACAAGACAAGTATTCGGTTCAGTATTTCCTGGGTGCCTTTGTTTGGTGCAAAAGTCCACAAGACCCACTTTCCGCCCTCTGGGAGCTCACAGTCCAAAGGAGACAGACTTGAATGTCCAAAACACAGCCCGCTAGTGAAAAAGTTCTGGGACTAGATAGTGGTGATGGTTGCACACTGTGAAGTACTTGACACTACTGGACTGTAAAACCATAAAATGTGTATGTATCTTACCATGATTTTAAAAAAGGGAAAAAAATTCACCCCACATTCTAATAGGATCAGACTTGGGGGTTCAGAAAGGTAACTGCTAGAAAGTAGGATGGGTTAAATTAGTGGTTCTCAAATTTTGCTATGAATTAGAATGACTCAGGGGAACTTTAATAAAACCAGGTTCCCAGGTCACACCATACACCAATTAAGCCAGAATCACTGAATGTAGGACCCAGACATCCATATTTCTCAAGTCTCCAGGGCATTTCAGTCTCAGCCAAGTTTGAGAAATAGGGAATGAACAGGGAAGGGTGATGAGAAGCTATCTCAGGCAGCTGGACTGTCACTGAGATGCACAATCCCCTCCACCTGAACAGCACCAGGTTTATAAACTACGTTCTTACCAGCAATTTCATTTAACCCCACAGGAAGTATTCTAAGAGCTGGTTTGCAGGAGATCACATGGCTGACCCAAGCCCAAGCCCGTGAACAGCCCATGCATCCAGGTCTCAAACCAAAGTCCGGAACCCCATCCCTCTGTGAACGGATCAGGTTATCACAAGAATAGTCACATAAGGCCAAAGACCATTAATACTTTAGAAAAAAAAAAATCACTGGAACATGGAAGTACATACCAATATTACACTACTATATGGGCCAGTGTTTGACTTTTCTAAAAGGAGTTACACAAAAAATAAAGGAACTGCATACAAATTCGGCTGAAACACTCACCACAGAGTTTATTGATGACAGAAAAATTGGACACAGCCTAACAGTCCATCTAAAGGAACTGGTTAAATAAAATGTTATAGAAAAAATAGTTTGAAACATGGGAGGATGTCCAGAGTGTATTAAGTGAAAAAAAAAAGTGTCTATAAAATGTTATGCACATAGTGATTCCATTTTTTTTCAAAAAACCGTAGGGAAAAACAGACAAAACAGAGATGGGAAAGGTACAAACCATATGGCTGGGGTGGGGAATCGGATTGTGAGGTGATTTTTATTTTCTCTCTCTTTCTTTTTTTGCTTATCCAGACTTTTTTCTAAATTTTGGACACAACTTTTATAAAGAGAAAATAAGTTAATCGGAAAAAGCAATTTATCACTTTCTTCCAACCCTTGCAACATTCTTACAACTTAAAGAATCTCCTTCAGTAAGGCAAGCGAGGATTCAAGTGAACCACCCTCACAGATGAAAACCTTTACACCTCATCTATTAGAAACAGTTCTTAGAATCTTACAGGTTAAAATGATAGCTACAAGAAAATTAAGCCTCAGTGTCATTCTATTAAAAAGGGAGTTAAAAAGATAGACTGAATCCGTGGTTCTCCAACTGGAGTCTTCTAAATTCTGACTCTACAGCAAGCCAAGAGCTATTTCAGGTATTTTTTTAGAGGTCAGTGAATGTGAGTTATACATTTACCTGCAATAAGGATGGACAGATTTAACTAAAACATCCTCTACCGTTGCTTTTAACTAGAACCGTTCCTACACAGCATGATGAAGCGGGAAGGGCTTTGAAGCCAGATCAAATCCTGGCTTGAGATCTGTAGACTGTTGGCCTGAGGCAAGAAAACGGTCCTCAAGAATATGACTTCATGGAAACCCCATTGGTGTCAGTGGACCTGGGCTCTGCAGGCTTGGCCTCCTGTGTGGCAGGCTGCACACCTGTTTTCTCTTCTGGGAAATGTGCAGCACGTGGCAGTGCTCAGTTTCACTGAGGAAAAGTTAACATCCTTACCATGATCTGCAAGGCCCTACTTGACTTGCCTCTCTGACCTTACCTGGGGCCATTCTCCTCCTCCCTCATTCCTCACCAGCCCCACCTCCCTCCTCAAACACCCCAGATTTGCTCCGACCCCAGGGCCTTTGCACTTGCCATTTGCTCTGCCTGGACCAGTTTACCTCAGGTCCCCACTTGCCTAATGCTCCCTCTCCTCCAAGTCTTTGTTCAAATGTCACCCTCTCAAAAGAGGCCCAGCCACCCACCCTCTTAACTCCCCAACCAGTCCTCCGAATTCCTCACACTTTTCTTTCGACTATGGCCCTATTCACCTTCCGACGCACTACGTAATCTGCTGACTTATTATAAAATAAAATACACCGTGTATTTTCTGCCCCCCACAAACAAGTCCCATGGAGGCTCGAGGAGAGCGCATTCACAGGCGCCCAAAGCCGCACACACAGCCTTCAGAAGACCTGCTACTCAGTGGTCCTCTCCTTCATCTCATCAAAGAACCTCGTTTTGTGCTCTTCTGATGAAACTACTAAAAAACCGGCGTATCTCGACCTTAAGACGCAGTGTGGGCTTTTTTTAAAAGAATATTAGTTTGAAATGCCTAAAAACTACAGTTCACACAAAACCTTTAAGAGATTTAAAAGGAAAACCCCTTTTGTTGTTGTTCAAAGACTGGATAAACTGGAACGAGAGTATTCCCAAGAGTTAGTTTCTGTGTATTAAAATATAAAAATAAAACGGTGGGACGTCAGAACATGGCCCGGAAGCTGCGCGTGGCCCCCGCGCCGTCCCGCCCGCGTCTCCCGGAGCCGAGCCCGCGCCCTCACCGTCACCCCGCGGATGCCCTGGACGCCCCTCCATTGCGAGGGCACAGATATCACGCCCAGGGTCTCGTCCTGCAGCGGCCCGGGCCGCCCAGGCCCCTCGGCACTCGCAGCCCCGCCTGTCGCCAGGGCCGCAGCATCCGGGTGTCCTGCCCGGCAGAGCTGCCTGGGTTGCGCGCGGGTTGCCTTGGAGACGGCTCCACCCTCTCGCGCCGGCGCACTCCGACGCGACCTTCGCCCGCGCGCCTCCAGAGAGCAAGACTGGGGAGATGAGGCTATCGGCGCCATTTTTGAAATGGTCAGAGCGCCGCTTTCAAAGACTTCGTAGAAAGAAGGAAATTTCTTTTTTTCTGGCCGATGCGACACGCACCACCAGTTTTGGATACTCCATCCCAATAGGTGCACGCTTGGGGCATGCGTGGCTACTCCGGGTAGGGAGTGATGGAGGGAAATACGGAAGCGAGGCTCGGTGCCAGGCTCAAAGATGGCGCTGACCTGCAAGGCCCAGAGGCGAGGGCGGCAAGCTGCGGCTGCGGCGGACTCTGGCGTGTCGTGGGGCTTCGGGGCCCAAAAGTGAAGAACAGCCGGGAGCTGCTAGTGGAGCCGAGAAGCGCGCAGCTCCCGTTGGTAGCCACCTCGAAGCAAAGTGCTCACTCTCTGAGCTTCTGCCTCAAGAGTATGGTGATTTATGATATCCATCTGTGGATCCAGAGTGTGAATATTTTGGAAGGTCCACATGAGGTCAAATACTGAAAAATGCTTGCTAAATTGAAATTAAAGACCCAGACTTTTAAGTACGTTGATCTTACTAAATCCTCAAAACAAGGCTATGAGGAAGCAACTGTTAATGCCGCATGAGGGTGCTGATAGTCCGAGAAATACCTGCCCCAGGTCGCGCCGTAAAGCCCCCATATCCCATTTGCCCAACACCTTAGGCAGACGGCTGCTTGGCTCTGCAGCCGGATTCCGAGTCTCCTGGCAGGAATCCTTCGGCCAGGCCCTCTGAGCTGCTTTCTTCCTATCGTTAAACTCTCAGGGACGGAAACCTGCCCAACTAGGGGCCCCTCTGCACCTCCACGCGACTGAGTCTTCACTAGGACACCGTTCCAGTTAAGGCCATGAGGACAGATTAGCAACGCTGGGGGAAAAAATGAAATGCAATAGATATTTCTTCCTAGAAAGAGAGTAGAACCAAAAATTCTCCCTGTGAGGCCCTCTTAACACTAAAAGAATTTGCAAACATCACCAAGGATTCCAAAAACCTAGCTCAAAAAGAAGCTCAAAGCTGTGGGCATCTGGAGGCCTGGATTGAAGCCTGAACAGTACTGTCTTCCTTATAGATCTGGTACCTCTCTGGGCTTCGGTTTTCCTAGTTGTAAAATAAGGCTAGTAAGATTGGACCTGCTTTACCTGACCAAGGAAGGAGAATATTTCAGGAAGGGAAGGGTGGTCCAAGGTATTAAATGCTGCCCCAAACAGGTCAATGAAGATAAGGCCAGAAAATAGATCAGTCCATGAAACCGGCCCTCTGGATGACATCAGGTGGCTTTAGCAAAAACAATTTCTGTGGAGTGGTGGGGACAAAAGCCAGCCTGCAGAGGGTTTAGGAATGGAAGGGGGAAGTAGAGAAAGTGATGGACGTTACTGGGAAGCTACCACGGGAAGTGGGTTTGTGAACTGGCAAAACCTAATTGGAGGGTAATTTGTCCTTAAAGGGTGCCTCCTCTTTAATCTAGAAATACTACATCTGAAAATTTTTCCTGAGTCAACAATTACCGACTTGTGCAGATATTAGGTCCCAAGAATATTCAACATTTATAATGGTATCACTATGAAAATAGTAAGCTCCTGCAGTCAACGTAAATTTCCAAGCAAGTCATGGCACACAACAGGTGTTCACTAAATATTCGAAGAATAGACAGTAGGTCTTCGGTTGAGTGTTTCTGACACATGGTATAGAATCTCAGGTGGCCATTAACTGTTGTTAAAAATACAGATGTCTAAATGTGGCAAAATGTTTGCAGCACATTAGAGGTTTCATCAAGTGCAATTTGTATACAATGTATCCCTTTTTTGTGACAATATGTTTCTAACAAAACCTAGAAATATCCAAATATTGATAGCAGTTGCTTTTGGGTAATTCAATATTTTTTTCTCTTTGTAACATTCACGTTTTATGTGGCTTACTTGTGTAAAGAACGCACTGAATGAGTAAATGAAAACTTAGCAGTGCGAAAGAAAATATTGCACCTTGGGTAGGGAATTCAGTTGAAGAAATATTTCCAGGATAGAAGAATTTTCAGCAGGCACACGTTCCAGGAAGGAGACGGAAAAGGAGAGCAGGGTTCACCGGAGGAGGAGGCGGGGGAGGACGGGTTGGGCAGCCTCATTCCTGCCCCCTGAAGCTGCAGGAGCTCTGGCCCATCCCCATTACCCTGACAGCAATTCACACTCCCCCACCCTGCCTCCGGGACCCTCCTCCCCCCTCTCCTGACCTTCTGGCCTCCTGGGAAGTGTTACTAAGGGGACCAGTCCTAAGCCCCTATTTTTGGCTCTCCGAGTTTCTCTCTGAAGCACTCCCCAGGACTGTAACTAAGTAACAAGGTAGTAACGCCTTTTACTGCCCCAGCGGGTCAGCTCCACCAACGTAGGGACCACAGCTGTCCCCAGAGCCCAGCACTATGCCTGGCACAAGCAAAGGCTAGCTGATGAACATCTAACCACAAGTTTCCAGCTTTACAGGAGGGCAGAGCCCCTTTTAAATCTTGACTGGCCTCAGGCTGCCTATCAGGCCATTTCCAGGAAGGCTTTTGCTTCCTACCTCTACTTTTTGCTGCACAAAAAGTTCAGGAAATAGGTGTTCAAGAGAAGGTTCAACAAAATAGCAGTAGACTCTTAGACACTTAGAAGGGACTAGTTCTTACCAAGGGGGAGGGGTTGACGCAGGTGAGTGGGGAGGGTGAAAGGGATAAAGGGCACAATAATTTGCAATCACAATATAAATTGGTCACAGGGACGGTAGTCCAGCATGGGGAATATAGTCAAATGAGTCTGTAAATCTTACTGCTTTGATAGTAACCACACTAGAGAGGGTGAAAATTTAATAATAGGTGACTGTTGAACCACTGTGTTGTATATTTGAAACCAACATAAGATTGTGTATCAACCAAAAAAAAAAAAAGGGTTCAAATGCATTCAAGGAAGCTCTGGCAAAGAGTCAAAAAGGAGTACATCTGAATCCAATATTGTGTATCAATTACATTCCAATTTTTTTAAAAGAGTGAAAAATGTAGGCATCTCTGTTTTAAAACCCTGGTGACAATTATTTTAGGAAATTGAGTTCTGTTTAATAAACAACTCAGTTTTTTTAATGTCTATACCATGCACCAAGGATGAAACAACTATAATAACTTCTCTCAATGTACGGAGTTCTCACCATGTGCTAAGCACTTTGCATGAATTCTCACAACATCCTCATAGGGCAGATTATTATTATGACCCACATTTCACAGTAGGAAAGAACAGTATTTAGAGAACTTTATGACTTGCCTAAGGTCATGCATAGCTGGTGAAGTGGGTGTTGGATTAAAACTCAGACCTGCTGATTCAAAAGCCAATGATCCTTTCTCTTTTTTTTAATTTTTTATTAAGGTATTATTGATATACACTCTTATGAAGGTTTCACATGAAAAAACAATGTGGTTACTACATTTACCCATATTATCAAGTCCCCCCAATACCCCAATGCAGTCACTGTCCATCAGTGTAGTAAGATGCCACAGATTCACTGTTTGCCTTCTCTGTGCTACACTGTTTTCCCTGTGATCCCCCACACCATGTGTACTAAACATAATACCCCTCAATCCCCTTCTCCCTCCCTCCCCACCCTCCTCCCCTTTGGTAACCGCTAGTCCCTTCTTGGAGTCTCTGAGTCTGCTGCTATTTTGTTCCTTCAGTTTTGCTTCATTGTTATACTCCACAAATGAGGGAAATCATTTGGTACTTGTCTTTCTCCGCCTGGCTTATTTCACTGAGCATAATGTCCTCCAGCTCCATCCATGTTGTTGCAAATGGTAGGATTTGTTTCTTTCTTATGGCTGAATAGTATTCCATTGTGTATATGTACCACCTCTTCTTTATCCATTCATCTACTGATGGACACTTAGGTTGCTTCCATATCTTGACTATTGTAAAAAGTGCTGCGATAAACATAGGGATGCATATGTCTTTTTGAATCTGAACAGTTGTATTCTTTGGGTAAATTCCTAGGAGTGGGATTCCTGGGTCAAATGGTATTTCTATTTTTAGTTTTTTGAGGCCAGTGATCTTTTCTTTAAATCACTCTGTGTCTCAGTTTTCTCATTTGTAAAACTGGGATACTAAGGCCTATCTCACTGGGTTGAAATAAGATGGGAAGAATTAACATTTGGAGACCAAGCACACAAAGCACAGTCTAGTAGATTATCAGTATCAATAATTCTTAATTATTTATCATTACTATTACCACCAAGCCATAAGAGCTCAGGGAGGCCACACAAAGGGAGACTGGGCCTTAAAAAATGGGAAAGATCACTCTTGAATAACTGGGCATAGGGTGGGCTGTAAGTGTGCGCGCACGCACACACACACACACACACACGCACACACACACACGCACACACACACACGACTGGCTATCTAAACAAGTGCTGTCTTCTCCCAAGCTGCCACCAATCATGCGCCAGGCCTTCTGAGGACAGTGATGGTTTCTGACCTCAACAAGCTTAGAGTTGCACGTGTGGGACAATTACAATCCCCTAGGAGTCAGCTCTGAGTGATGAGCAAGGATGTGTGGCCAGCAGAGGGCCCTCATGCTGTTGGGGACCAGGAAAGGGCTCCAGGGGCAGAGGGCTTCTAGGCTGAGGTCAAAAAAAAAAAAAGAAGGCCAGGCGAGGACAACTTGAAAGCAGAAATAAGAGTCGAAAGAGGAGAGAGTCTTCCCGGTAGAAGGAATAGGTCTGCAAAGTCCCCAAAGTGAGAGAGAGAACCTGTTGCCTTGATGCAGCAGGTGGTCAGCAGCCAGATCATATAGCTACTAAAGGAATTTGGACTCCAGGTTTGATGGGTTTCCAGCAAGGGAGTGACTTAATTTAGCAGGTGGTCAGCAGCCAGATCATATAGCTACTAAAGGAATTTGGACTCCAGGTTTGATGGGTTTCCAGCAAGGGAGTGACTTAATTGGACTGAAGTGTTTTTAAGAAAATGCCAGGCTGCAGAATGGGGAAGGTACTGGCAACAACTAGATTCTC